TTTCCACTTTATTTTCAGTTTTCTGGGCCACGTGTGATAAGGTCCAAATAGAGGCCGGTGGCTGAGATGTCAGTGAGCACTAAACCTCCTCTGGAGTGGTGGAGCTTGCCAAGGCACTAAAACTGAGCCTCCCAATAGGTTAAGGCTGTTGGAGAGGCAGTGTGGCATAGTGGTTTGATTGCTGGACTATGACTCTGTAAACCAGCGTTTGATTCCCTGCTTAGCCATGAAACCCACTGGGGCTGCATCCACATTGTAGAAATAATGCAGTTTGACATCGATTTAACTGCCATGGTTCAATGCTATGGAATTCTGGGTACTGCAGTTTGTTGTGGCACCAGAACTCTGACAGAGAAGGCTAAATATCTCAAAAAACTACAAACTCCACAATTCCATAGCATTGAGCCATGGCGGTTAAAGTGGTGACAAACTGGATTATTTCTGCAGTGCAGATACAGCCTGGGTGACCTTAGGCATGCCACATGCTCTCAGCCTCTGATAGAGGCAATGGCAAACCTCCTCTTGACCAAATCTTGACAAGAAATGTTAGGTTCGCTGTAGGATTACCATAAGTTGAAAATGACTTGAAGGCGTACAATAATACAACATAGCTTCTTTAAAGATCTGATGAAAACCTGAAGTGGATTCAGTTCTTGCCCCTAGCAGGGGAGCCACCAGCTGTCACTGGTCAAAATTCTCTTTAAAAGTAACTTTGAAGAGTAACAAATAACTTGGAACTAGATGAACCAATGGTCTGAAACAGGAACCACCAGCCTTTATCACGTCCACTTGAAAGTGTCTCTTGTATCCTGTCATATACCAAGCTGACATTCTTTTATTACTGTTTTGTAGGGTTTTTTTTTTAAAAAAAAAATAATGTGCACCTTACAGGAAACAGAATCATTATATGTGCTACACCTGTCTCAGCTACCTTATAATCTCTTCCCCTGGGTGTTAACTGAATAATGGGAAGCTGGAGAGGCTGCAGATGGTCAGAGATATAATTGTACAAGAAAAAAACAGGACATCCTCTCCTTTCCCCTACTCTCACACCTACAATCTAGTGTTGGTGGACCTATGGTATGCATGCCAGAGATGGCATGTGAAGCCATTTTCCCTGGCATGTGGAGTGGGGAAGAGGAGGAACAGGCATGTCCGGAGAGGCAGCTGAAAGCCCAGGAAAGTACAGGAGGAGGAGGAGGAGGAGGAACAGGCGCACCTCTGTTTCTCCTCCTCCTGGGCCTTCAGGAAAGGTGTGGGGGTGAAGATATACTGCCCCAGAAATCCTGCTCCCATAGGGTGGAAGTCTTATGCCCAAAGTCCCATTCCCCTCAGAAGCCCCACCTCTGATATGAGGTAACACCTGGTGCCAGAAGGCCATTTAGTTTGGGCTCTTAGTGCCTAAAAGTTTCGCCATCAGTGACCTAGTAGTTATGGTAAGTGCAAGAACCTTTCTAAATTGTGCTCTGGGAAAGGAGGGCTTTAAAAGTAAGCTGGGGGAGAGGGCAAAAATGCTTGGCAGAGCTCTCTCTCTCTCTTCTTCCAATGTATTGAAATGTATGTAGGGTGGAGACGGACAATGGTGGAGGGAGGCATTTTTCACCTCTGTACTTCCTCCCAGAGACATAGTGGTGCTCTCAACACATGATGTCATGTCATATGCAGTTTCAGCTGGTTTTAAGGGGAGTTGGGAGAGCAAAAGCACTACACTCTGCAAAGGTTTTGCCATGGTTTTGGTCAACTGTGCCCAACAAGTCAGCAATCAATCAATCAATTAGTCAATCAAGTGTTTGGGAGGTAGTGGTTTGGGCCATTTTTGGCTCCTAGGTCAATAAAGTGGCCCTTATTTAACTCAACTTTGTATCTGACTTCATTATTTAATGATAGATCATCAATGGGGTTCTGGGCCCACACAACATACATCACTGCAGGGGAGAGGCCACCTTTCATGGTGTAGGTGGAAGGAGAACAGAGTCTTTTGCATTGGGCACAATGCAGCTGGGAACTCTGCATGGGGAGCAGAATTAGAGGCAATAAAAGGCCTGCCCACCATGTGCCTCTTCCCAGTGGGGAGAGA